AAAGTCTTAAACACTCAAGTGATAACAATAATTATTATAATATATAAAAATGTATTTTACCTTATTATGCGCAATTTTTAGGGTTACTATTATTTGATATTTATAATTATGCTTTCTTGGCTGTCTGCTCTTTTTCCGCGTGGTCGATCTTTTCCACATCACCGTACCCCCATGAGTAAGCTTATTTTTATAACTAGTTGTTTAGACTGCATATAAAACTAGGATTTTTTTATCAAGAAAGGCCCATCTCAGTGTATCAAAACCATGAATGATACCTATATCGACGTAAGCTTCCATATCTTTTATTACTTTGCCCTACTCTGAATTGACTGAAACCCTTGCCCATTAAATAGTATGAAGACGAAGATTACATTGAGGATTCACAGATCAGAATTCCGCCGACTGTCACCTCTATACAAGGTAGATATTCTGCCTTTATGATTGTTTCATCTAAATAATTATTGTAGTCTGATCATGAATTTTACTTACTAGTAAAGATTATATTTTGTTGTTGCTATTTTTAAGTTTTTTCTTTTTGGATTGATTTATTTTCATGGCCTACATTTGATTACGGTAATCTTAAATGTTTTTAAGCCCTTTAAGAGAAGTATCTATTTACTTAGCATCATATGTGCTAAAATAGTTAAAATTTATATTGTAATGTCAAAACCTAGATTGATAATTTAAATCAGTAGGAAACCATTTCGTGCATTAATTAATATCACTACTGATGCGTATGTCTTAGTGTATTTAATGATATTTGTATATATATCAACTTTAGGTTGGGTTTATCCTTCATTAAAATATAAAATCAAATCAAGAGAATGTACTTGAAACATAACTATTGCCCAAAATTTATCCATATAGCTTAAAATACTTTATTCACTAGGTGACAAGATCATAAAGGACACGCTTGAAGTTGTCCAAAAGCGTATGGCTAGGCCGCTATCTAATTAAATCATAAAGTCTGCCCATTACGAATATAATTTACGTAGTAAATTCTAATAGGGAAATACAAGCTGACCTCATCGACAATACCACTGTTAATGTGGTACTGGAGAAGCCTGGTTTACCTTGAGGTTAATTTGCACCGTGTTCCACTGACATTCATTGTAGTGTGCCATAGTGCTAGCTGGTGGAAATCATAGTCCCTATCATCCGGGTCGTATTTCCTTTAGGTATGCCGATGAATTCTAAACTGCATTAAAACCTGAATCAGAATACCTTTTGGGAGGCAAGGCTAGCCAAACTTCAACTAAATTATGAGGCCTCGTCTAGTTAAGAAAAAAAATTCGATAATCAACAATTCATTGCATGCAATCTAGGGTGGTTGTAGCTCTTATTCAATGTACAATGCTGTCATTCAAACATGATTATAAAGTAATCTATCCGAATTTTCGCATTACACCATGTGGGATTAAGAATAATAAAAAAGCGGATTATTTTATCAAAGTTACGATAAATATTGGCCATTCTATATGAAAAAATAGCCGATTTATTCACTATTATCCTAATCACTTACGTTTCATAAATTACGTATTATTTATGACTTTAATAACCATCTTTCCGAGCTTTCTCTGCTGGTAGTATTTAGCACGTTTTTGACGCCTTGGCGATTAAGATAAGTCGAACCCATTTTTGCGCAAGAAATACACTTAAATTTTATTATTTTTTTCTTTGACTTTTCATCCACTATGACTCTTGTTTATTACTTGACCTATTTTAAAACTGCAAATATCTAATCTACATTGTGTACGAATTTAGGGGAGTATATATTTTGCCTTACGCTGCACTTTTTAATTCTGTTTTAATCTAGCCTTTACTTTCGGTAAATGTAGGGCAATAAAATCCATTATTTTTATTTGTCTTTGCTACCTAGTTTCAGATCCATCACTACTTCGTCGTTCTACGCCTCAAGATGAAAAGCCTGTCATTATTCGTGGCATTAATGCCTCTGGTGGTCAACTTCGTCACCTTGTCTGGCGTAATGGTCAATTGCAGAATCTTACTCCTGCCGTTCGGCCCGAGATACCCAATCATCCCGCACGTCCCAATCATAACCATATGATATCTTCCAATTTCTGCCCCGGAAATTTGATGACTCTTGGTTCTGGATCAGCCTATGGCGACCAAAATGTGCTCTTAATGCCAAGGCAGGAACGCCCTTTAGTCACTGTTCACATGCCCAAACTCCCCTTACCTACGGGAAGCGCAGCTTTATTTTCTAGGTGTGTTTAGTAATACTTTCAAAGTCATTGCATTTTGATAACCTTGTCGGAGATTCCCATTAATATTTTGAGCTTATGTCCTCGGAAAGAAGAGCTTTATTTCTACACTAACGGATTTGATTCGCTTCCTTAACCTCGTTCCATC